GCTTAGTGCTGCGTGGCAGTGCCACACAGGGATTCTGGCACAAACTTCCACCTGTGGCTCACTGCCAGCACTCATCTCCCTTGCCAGGGAAAGGAGCCAGCCCTTGGTACTGATGGGAGGGAGGACAAGCCATCCCTGCACCGCACAGCCAAGCCAGACCAGAGCTGGGCCCCATGCTTTATCCGAGCTGAGGATCCTTGGTGCAGCCTGTCTCTGCAGCAGAGCAGAGACACACATACAGGGTAATTTCAAAGAGTTGTTTCTGTTGTAGGAGAGAAAACCTAGAAATAAGCAATTCAAGTGGAAGTCTCATTAGCATTCAAGACTAGCCCTTTGTCCACTAAACACAACATAAAACCACAGAATGGTTTGGGTTGCAATGGATCTTAAAGATCATCAGTTCCCATCCCCCTGGTAAAGACAAAAGGCTTCCACATTCTAACACTGTTCTTGTTAAGTATTTCATAAGAAACTTCTGAAATGAAAATTTTCTGACTTCACCAACAGGTCACAAATACATTGTCATAACATAAATTTGATCACACCCCTCTTTTGTACAAGTGCTTAAATGGACTGGTTTGCCAAATGCATCTACAGAAGCAATCTTGCTTCACAGAAGGGTTACTCATTCCTGAGAAAAACTCAAACGCTCTTCTTTTTTATTTATTTTGTAAATAAAAAACAAGGTAAATTTAAAAGCTTAAACTGCTATGAAACACTAACTTTCAGTGAACTGCAAATAGAGGAATCATCCATTCAGAAATTGTTCTAATATCCAACAAGGCACAAGTTTAGTCCATTTTTGGAACAATTGATTTTTAAGGCATTAAAAAAAAGGTAAAGGTTATGAAAAGTCATCAAGAAGTAATAGGTTGCAGAATCAAGCAGTCTCTTCTGCCTCATCTCAAAACATTTTATATTTGAGTGATCTGGGACTGTCGAGTTTACTGCAAGTTTTAAGTTTTGGTTCGTGCTGTTTGATAGATTTTCAGTTTTGTGATCATATTATTTAAATAATAATTTTATATGTGTTTCAGATTATAAAACTATTACAGTTTACCGTTAGCTGCCTTTTTATAAAATTTCTCATGCATCCGAGCAAAAACATTACATATTGTTCTCTTAAATAAAAGAACTTAGGGAAAAAATCATTAGGACCCAGTTTATGTCAAACACTTTTAAAAAGCTTAAAATTGTGAAACACTTGTACAGCAAGTCTTCTACTTAGATACCCAATATTCACCTAAGGGGAGAAAAAATACAGGATTATTTGATTACTTGTCCTTGTCAACTAAGATTAAGTGAAAACTACAGTTCTTTTCTTAAAAATTAAGGCTCATCACTGTATAAGAGATAATAGGGTCACTTAAAATGTAAACATTACTTACACCTGCCACAGGATAATGTGAGAGTAGATAGCTATTAAACCATCTAAACTCCTGAAAGCTGGTGCTTGGATTTATGCTACAGAAAACCAGTCTACCAAGACACACATTCCCGACCTCAGGACTGTTTCTGGAATGAAACCTCTGTTATGTGTAAACTGCTTATCTTTGCTATGCCTGCTAAGAGTAACAGAATGTATCCCTTTTCCCTTACACTGTATCTAGCAAATGTATCCTCAAATCAAGGTTGAAAAAAAGTAGCTACACATTTTAAAAGATGCATCCTTGTAGTATCAAGCCCGACCACATTAAGGAAGTTTTCCTTAAACATCATTTAACAGAAAATACCTTTTAGAAGATCACATGAAATATCTCTGCCATTACTATTATTCTTGCCTTAATTCCAGCTCCTGGGTTACTTTGTTATTACTCTCATTCACTGCATCTCAAAGAGCCTGGCATCAAGTTAAGAACAAGGTGCTCTTAAAAAAGGTTATTTTAAGATGTTATTCCCTTTTCTAGCTCTTCTGTAAACTGACATTTGTTAATTCAAAATAAGGCCTTACAGCTTCAGTAAAGTGCAGTACCTTTATTTAGTACATACACAGTCTGCCCACAATTGCAGTTTACCATCTCTAACCATTCCTCTTTTATGGGAAGAGTGTTACGAAACAAGCAGCCTGTGCCTAACCTTTCTAACCTAAACACTGTCACTCCAGACAGGTACCACACTCTGCCAGCCACCATAAATAGAATGCAGAGCTTGAGAAACTCCAAGTCCAAGATCTCTTTTCATTTTAGCATTTGTTTCTCTTTCCATTAACATTTCATCACAAAATTTCCAGAACATACAACACTAAGAAACTGACAACACCAAGACACCTTCCCTTTAGTATTAAGAGCAAAATTGTGCCCTCTGCTGTATCAAACCTATTAATATTAGTTTGTACATGCTTTAAAGAGGTCAAGTATCACCTGTCCATGTGGGCTCTAGAAAGTGTGGTGCTTCACACCAGAGCTGAACTCAATGCACTGCTTGATGACTCTCCGTGAAATTACATCGATGCATACTTCTGTGAAGGTTCAAAATTCTTAGTACTCCTTTTCAAGTCACCAGAAACACATATTGAACAACCAGACTGAAATAGTTTAAAGTCTTAAAACATGTCCATGCCCAATGCTTTAGTACAGGGCTTCCCAAGCCTACAAGAAAATATTCATATAAAAATAAATATGAATAAATAGAAATAAAAAATAATGCTAGTTGGAATCGTTTTACTAATTGCAGCCAACAATCCCATTTCTGTCCTTGTAGGATTTTGATATCAGAATTAAAAACAAAACCTAAAAATTCCACATACCTACTTTCATCATAATAGCTTATAAATAATGAACTCTTTAAACAAGGCTGTAAGTTCCCATAAATTTAACCTGTAGAACACCATGAGTTTGAAGAACCTCTGAGAAGGTAAATATATGAGCTAAACAATCACACTTACATACCTTTTTCTTTTTCATAAAGGAAAGAAAAAACATTTTGTTCTTACTTTGGAACAGTTTTCACTATGATAAAAGTCAAATTATATGGTGCCCCTCCCTTGCTCCATTCCACCAATGAAAATTTAATTCTTACAAACATACAAGATACTAAAAAATATACGTGAACACAAAGAATAATTCCTATTTATGTGAGAAAATGTGTACCTATATACAGCTTCACATATGTGATAATACTACTGGAAAACTTCTTCTTTTTTTTTTTGCCAGATACTTACTATTTTTTTCTTAAAACTCTGTATAGCCAATCCCCTCTTGCACTGAGATACAAAAACTGAGCCACTCCAAAATGAGTGAGGAAGATAAGGTGCATGGCTAAGAGCAAGGTGAGGACAGTGAGATCTCAACTCCTGCTTTCAAAAGCACTTACACTGACTTAATTGTTCATTGGAGAGCAGTCTACATTTCACCTTAATTTACTCTTTGGCTGTAGGTAAGACAGGGGTATTTTCCACAGCAGTCATCCAAGTGCTTAAATTGCCTCAAGCAGCCTGAGCCCCCTGACCTCCCACCCAGTATCCTGATTAACTGCAGTGCTGTACGAGCTGAAGCACTCTACAAGAATGTGCTCTGAAAGAGACTGGGGAAGCGATCTGGCTGCACATTCCCATGTCATTCTTTGTGGTCGAGGTATTACAGCTGCTAAGGCTGCTGCCTCCAACACTACTCCAGCTGGATGCCTGCTTCCCCTTAACCCCTGCCTCCCTGCAAAACATACACACACTTGGTCTGGGTCATCTCCTGAGAAATGCAAGAGAAAGAAATTGAGGAGGAGACAGTTAAAACTTCCACTGAAGATGCAACTGCAGAAACAGCCAATGCAGTGGTTTCCCTACAGCAGAACCCCATCTAAACCAGCACTGTCACAGCCTCCACTGCTGCTTCTCTCAGCCCTACATCCACACTTCCTTCCTCTGCTCAGCTCTGGCACACATCCATCTGTGTGGCACTTTGGGTGCTTAACAGCTGAGATCTTGACCATCTTCCTTTGTTAGACTGTTAAATTTTCCAATGGCTTAACAGACCTAGCTGGGCTTCTGGTTTGGTCAGGCCAACAGAAGTGTTAGCACAAGACAGAAAACAGTAACACAATGAAGGGAACAGATGAAGAGTATGATTGCAACAGCAGCAAACAATTTCAATCACTTTAAACTGTCTCCTGTTATACCACAGTATGAGAAAAACGTCACAGAAACCTAAATCAACTTTTCTTAGCCAGAAACTGCTGCCATTATGGACTTCCTGTGTGCTGAAGCAGTAAGAGTCAGTACAATTCAGTGAATCTACTGCTTTCTAGCATTCTGCAAATGTTAATTAAGCTTCAGAGTATTCCATGTGAAAGGCAAATAATGAAGACTTTAACACTGGATCTCTCTAGTCTTTTCCTTGTTCATTAAGTAGCATCCATGAATCCTCATCCCAAACTCATTTGTTTTCAAGTAAGAAAAAAAGTCATGTCTTAGATGAAATATCTAATTTTACATTCTGCTACATGAAACTAAATCATTGCTATTTTTATTGCTAAATGTGGGCTCCCGAGTCAAATAATGAAGACTACCATAATGCTTTACTGAGAGCACATTGTGGAACATACAGCTTACTGTGGAACCAGAAGGACAGCTACACGTCTGTTCAGACTCTCAGTATCTGAAGTGCATGACCACAATCACAAGGACACTTAACTTTCAGAAAAGAAAACAAACATCTCCCTCATGACCCCTGTTTCCTGACTTTTAATTCTGCAGAACGTGACATCATTCATGCTGGAAAATTACTTACCAACAGGAATAATTTTTTTCAAACCTAAGTCTAAGAAGGAAGCTTTCCTCAGAAAGCTTCAGTAATTTTTTTTTTTTTGAGGTGACAGATTAGAGCAGTGGATATTTACCAGCATGAACAGAGAAAAAACAGGACAGGTCATCTCTGCCTTTCACCACTTTTACTCCCAGAATTCCATGATAGCCATAAAATTTTGATTCCTTTTAGCAGGGAAAATTCATCTTTTATCCTTACACAAAAAATGTATGTTATGCAAACACAAAACCACCACAAACTTACTCTCTAGTTCTTCTTTCTCAAAATTTGTATTGATAGTAGAGCTGATTTTGCCCATATCCACAACAGCTTCTTCATCATGACCCTGAAGAAACAAGACACAAGTTTGAGTTACAACTAAATAGAACTACTTTTTTCCTAAATACGTTATCAGACAGTATGTCATTACTGAAAACCTACCCTTCCAGTTTTTCAAGAAAACATTACCCTGCACTGAAGGAAAAGAGAGTAAATCAACAGACAGGCTAAATACCATAAAATTTCCTTCTGAAGTGCTCTGGGATTTCATTACAATCAGGACACACATTTCAAAAGTGCACTATTCTTTTAGCATTTTATTCAACAGCAATCAATCTACTTCAATGAAATAACTGGTAAATTTATAAAAAGATACAGAAGTTAATACTGAGAGATCTCAAGCTCTTCTCTTTAAGGGGCAATTCCTGTGTGAGATTTTCCAGCACAAATAAGAAGCTTTTTTGAACAAAGGGGAAGCAAAAAGGTTAGGTTATCCAACATGAGGTCTTTCCTAGACCAACAGCTCTGGAAATATCAAAAGAACTGCTTCATTCAGGATTCAACAGCCAGCTTGTTAACCTAATTCACTTCTTTTTTTTCCCCTACAAAGTTAAAAAGCAGCAGTTTCCAGCAGACCTTTTGGGGTTCCATTACTACTGAAACCACACCACTCATAACATGCAATATGTGAAACAGATATAGGCTTATCTCTGAACATGTCCTCTAATCACAGTTAGCACATCACTAAAGCAGACCTGAACCGCAAAACTGCCTTTTGCTCAGTCTTGACCAAAATGAAGTAACTGAGTAGTAGAAATCTCAAGCCCATCTCAGACTTGACATCAGAACAACATTAGAGTTGCCTTTCTCCACATGTCTGCATTCCTTAGAATAAAGTCCACTTTTCACAGCTCACAAATTACCTCCTCACAGAGCTGGTTCTCCAAAAGAACAACCGCCTAAGAGCAGTTTTACATCCAAATACAAGGACATGGCTACCTGCTAAAGATTACTGGCCCTGATCTTTCTGCTCCCTTGCGAACACACTTTCTTCCTTAAGTCAGGCCTAACCATCAAGAAATCAGATAAAAAGCGCTTAAGAAACGGTGTGGTTTCTTTGTTGTTTGTTTGGGGGGTTTCTTTAGCTTTTTTATAACAACTCGATTAGTTTTCCACTGGATCAGCTCAGCAAAGTGACTTCTCTTGTGGCCATATGACAGCCAGATCCACCACAAGTTTATCTGTTTGATCACTGCTTCTAGCAGCAGTTACATTGATCTGATGCATTTACATCAATCCACAGAGGATCTGTGATAATGGGTTCATGAGGGAAAAACAGAGGTCTAAATCAGGAGTCTTACAGGAACTGGGAACCCTAACAGTGTTGACATTCAACTAAACTTTGGTCTTAGAATTATGCAATTGCTTTATATATAGATCAAGCTTGTCACTTCACAGGAAAAGTGGCAAGGATGAAAAACAACATACCTGTGTGTAACAGGTACAAGCTAAAACACACTGTATCAACTCCCACTCACAAAAAAGAATTTTTTGAATATAGAACTCCTTGATCTTAAAAAAATATCTTTATTATAGTATATTGTGTGCATATACACAAAAAAAATTAAGTATTTCACTGCTGAGGAAAGAAGATTAAAGAATATGAAGATGGTGAGCACCACATGCTGGAAAAAATTCTGATGAGGTTCAAAAAAAAGGTTAGATGCAGTTAGACCCCAAAAAACCAAAAGCAGCTGGCACTATGTAAGTAAAAACATAAAAGGAAAGAGTAGCACATGGCAGAATAAACCTCTAAAAACTAAGTACAAGTCCATTCTGCGCTGTGTCCCTGAAAATAGGATTTTCAAGAAAGGAACTACACAGTAACCTAACATTGTCACTACTGCTGCTTGGTAGTGACAGTGGAGTTTTGCAAGCAGGTTAGAAAAATCAAAACTTTGTACACTCCACAGAGCTACAATTTAAAAAATTGAGGCAATGTCTGTTGAGCAAGACCGTGTAAATGTTCCAAGGACCTATTAATAAAAAAGTGGTAGAAATTTTTCAAGTGTCATGGTAATAAGATGGGAGGGGAGTATGGAGGTAAATGGTATATGCCTGTCTCCTACATACCAAAATTGAGTGTACTGTAGTACACTTCTGCTCACAGAAACAGATACACACAGTATGTACGTTACCATAAAACTCCAAGCAGAGATGGAAGCAGATAGAAGAATTACAAATTCTCTGAACTACCTTAGGTGGTTTTTTATATCTGAGTAGAAAAAAAAAATCCCTAGTAATAGGAAAACTGCTATCAAAATCTGTTCCACAATTAGCTTCATGGTTACAGCCACAGACTGCTGAAAAATCCTGCACCTAAACACACCCATCCCCAGCAGTCCTTTTAGGACACTTGAAATCTTGCCAAACACAGTTTTTGAGCAACAAAGGAAGAACGAGTTTTTCTGCAGATGATACAAACAACTGCATACCGGTAGAAAACTGCATACACACTGGGAAGAATATACACAAAAGGAGAAGCTTTCATCTCCCAATAACATTTTGAAACTGGATTTGCTGTGTGCCCTATATCACATTATTAATTTTTATCACCCTTTGCTTCAGTAAAAGAGATTCTCTGCCAAACTCATACATACAGAAGCAATCTTCAAAAACCACATCACGTGCAAGTAACATGTCTTTAAAGATTAGATTACAGGAAGGCATGCGTGCCCTTGCAAACCGTTCCATCACTATCTCAAAGTACTCAACATATGCAAAGACTCTTCCAAGAATAAACCATTAACAACCACAAATATCATACATGGAGGAAGCATATCATTTACAGCCTTTGTTCAGAAAAACACAAAGCATCATTTTAACATATCTGTTTTGTGATGCCAAGAGTAAATCCCAGTATGAGATACTTTTGCCTTAGGTCAGGTAAAAAATCAAAAATATTCAAATACATTATAAAGTAATTCCAAATTACAACCTTTTCCTGGTTAAAAATAAAGTCTGTAGGGCATAGATTTCCAGTAATTATAGAGGATTTATCATGTCAGTTGAAGGCACTGAAGGGAAGGAAAATTTTACAGTTGCCATTTCAGTTCTCTTGTCTACTTTCTGAACTTTTTACATAAACAGCAGTATTGTGGAAAATTTGTCAACTTCGCTGTTTTAGGCAGAGAATGACTGGAGCTTAAAGTAAATATTCCTGGACAGTTTACCATTCACTGCATGTGAAACTTTACATAGAATAATCCCACAGATGCCCAAATACAGCTGATGTAGACAAGCCAAAGTAAAATTCCAGACTAATTTAGAATGTATGTAACTTTCATTTTCAGTCAAAAGACAGAACAATTGAGAAGGGGGGAAAAAAACCAACATAAGCAGCAACCAAGGTGCCCTAGGGAGAGATTAAGCTTTCACCTTTGGTTTGCACTTTTTTTTTTTAACAAGGAGAAGGTAATTTATAAAAACAGAACAAATCCAGTGTACTTCAAAGGAAAAAAATAAAAATTACAAGTCTAGCACACTGCATTTAGATATACTACACTGTATTATGATACACTAAGTAACTTTTTCCTAAGACTTCTGGATACTCATAAACATAATGCAGAAACAACCTCCAGTAAAACCTTCATATTCAGCTGGAGGTGCCTGCATACACTAAAATCTGCCTTTTCAGCCTTCTAACTCTCCTCAGCATGAAAATTAAATCCCTTTTCAACTGCTATAGATCAGACAAGACTTTCAAATACTCAGTGCTCCAGCAGACTCCCAGTAGGATTCCTCTTGCCACCTCTAGTTTTCAAACGTCTTTTTTCAGTCTGTGAGAAAAGAGTAATTCCCCCTTGCAGAAAACCAAGCTCCAGAAATTGTTAACACTACTTATTTACCTTCTCAAACATTTTTGATCATTTAGTTCAGTACACTTTCAGTATCTACCATATTAATGCCACATGTTTTTTAAAACTAGTATTGAAAAAAGAGTCAATCCTAAATTGCATGAATTTTTATGGAAAGCCCTGAGCTTGGAAGAACTGACAGCTTCCAGCAGTATGTGGTAGCCGCACTCTCAAGGACTAGCACGAATATGACGCAGGGAGTATTAAATCCAAAGGCAAGTTTCCACTGTCATCTCTGCAAGCACTTCTCACCATGCAACTCACTTAACCTTGTGCAGTCATACACACGACAGATTTCAGATGGGCATGCTGCCAAAGTGCATTACTGAATAACCACTTCCAAGACACAACTTGCTAGAAGCACATTTTTAAGGTACTTGAAATACAGTTCAATCAAATCATTCTAGTGATAGACAGTGATCATAAACAGCTGATACAGCTAACTGTAAATCTCTGAAATCTATGAGCAATACAGTAACCATGTTAAGAATAATTTGAGCTCAACATTTAAGACCATTACTTAGTTAAGTCAATGTTTATGTACTCCATTTACATTTCCTCAGACCAAAGTTCTTCACCAGCAGAATTAAAGAGTGAGTGGCTTGCAGCACCAGAAGGGACTGTATTAGTGCTCATGGAAGTAAGGAGGGCTTAAGAGAGAAAGAAACAAAAAAACCTCCACCATCACCCTTCCTCCCCCCCAGAAAAATTACATTACAACTTTCAAGCTACAAAGAAGCTTTACTGCAGCATTTATTGAAGTAGATGCAAATAATTTTTTTTTAAAAAGAACAAAAACCCACCAACAAAAACTAACCCCAACTCAGGATGGGGAGGGAGGAGCATACTCATAGCAACTTTTTGTCCTTTATATAGCTGTCCCTGGCCAACAGTTTAACACTTCTTATTTTAAGAGTATTCTAAAACAACACCATCCCAGTGGTCCTGATACTGCTTTGTGACTGTAACTGTATTCCAATCTCTATGGTTTGAAGAGAAAGCAAACAGTTTCCCCCTCCTTCCCACAAAAACCCATGGATACATCTCTACTTTTGTAAGCATGAGAGATCTGGCAGACAGGATTTTGCTCTTTGACTGGAATGTGGCACTAACAAATCATTCCTCTCAAAACAGGAGCAAACCCTGCTTA